TTTCCCAAGTATACAGCTGTTCTAAATAAACATTACCTATGTAATCATTATTAAATGTATTTTTACTTTGACGATTGTTTTTACTGTTCAACACTGTCAATTATCAAGAGTTTAGAATACTTACTAGTCTTGTAAAAGCAACGGATTGAGTAGTTCCTAGCGCAATATCCATTAATTTGTTGCCACAAATTATAGGTACACGGCAACTTCTGTGGCATCTGCCTTCACAATATCTAGACCTAATACTTAGTGCATTTTTTACCAATAAAATGAACTAGTAGATTCTCTTTAAAATTAATATTATGGTGTTGCAAGAGAGTGACTCCAGCTCAGTTGTACCCACTTGAAGGGTTTACAAACTTGAGTCCAAAAATAAGGAGTTCTTGAAATTGCAAAAGGAAAAAACAGTGGTTATTCTGTGTAAATATTAAAACCTTTCAAAAACTCATTAGGAGTCTGACAATAAAACCAAATAAAGACCTATGAGAAAGAGTTGTTGTGTACATGAAAAATCGTTTATTTATAATAAGTGTAAATATTGTAAAATATTATATTTTTATTAGTGTAGTAGTATGATAGCAATAAATAAATGTATGCATGAGCGCAATTACGTGTAAAGTAATGTGTAGCAAAAAGAAGTGTAAGAGAATATTGAAAAATTATGTAGAGCAAATAAATAATTACTTAACAAATAAATATATTTATTATAACATAATCATAGCTTTTGTTTATTGATTAACGACGTCGTATTTCATACTTTATTTTGTACTGGTACGGTTATAGTTGAAATTGCCGTCCTGGAAAAAAAATGTCGTTTAAACATGTTTCTACCAATTAGCCTCCGTTTACTTGAAAAAATTTAGTTCCTATTCACTTGATTCTTTAGAATAGTGTGTTGCATAGAAAGAAAAGAATCAAAAAATCACATCAGCAAATATTACGATAAAGTGATGAGCCAGAATTGTCACTATAGGACTATGGTAATGTATTTTCAAGTATGAATTTTTTTACGTATTAAAGAAAAGAAAAAAAGTTTTTAATAAAATCTTTGTTAAGTTTTAATATTTGAACAAGTAACCTTACACTTACATGGCTTTTAATTTAGAAATTTCCACACACAATGAATAAATATAATAGACATATATAGTACAAACCTTAACTATTCATTTGTACAAAGAAAACCGTGTAACGTTCTAGGATTTTTAGATCTTCATGACAATCGTAAATCATACCTCGGCTGTACCAGGTACCAATTAAGGACGTCCGGTAGAGATGGCGGGGGGGGACCAATTTCGGGGCAAGGGGGGAGTAGCGATGAGTGAAGACTTGGCATCGCTGCATGGGTCTCCAATGCGTGAGTGTTCATGTACACACATATATACACACATCAGGTGGTATATATATTTGTAATGTATTAGTGCTAAAAATGTAAGTATTTGATTTTTATTCGTTATAACAATGTAATAAACATGAGTAAATAATTAAAAATGATGTGCTTACGAAGATTCAAAAAATCGCTGATGAAAAAAATATATTTACCTTTTCTCCCATGTCGTCTATCATTACGAAATCAGTTATAGAAAATCTTAGTCAAAATAAAGTAGATTTTTACGTGATTGTTAATAAATTGATGGAAGGTGACGCTAGTTTACGATAGTTTTTATTAAATGAACAAAATCCTTTTATCAAAAGAGAAGCTTATGCAAATAAAATTCTTGAATTTTTATGTGCCTTGAAAAGTCTTATTTAAAGTGATATGTGAAATAATTAAGACAGACTCCAATCTCTGCGATTACGACAAGCATGTGATTTTGTTATCTTGTGTAAAAAAATTGTATTGTATAAAAATTTCAAATTAAAAATTTCATTAAGAAGTTATTATAATACATTGTTTGTTATGTGTACGGGTAGAACCTATGTACATATACTCATACGCATATACATAAGCTTGTGTTTTATACAGAAATACATAAATATCAACCATAATATTCAAATATTCACTGAAATGTACGTCCTAGAACATTTTGAATTTTCCGCTTCTTGCAACGTTGCCGTTACGTTTTTGTCAAACTATTATTTAATTTTTTTATTCATAAACTAATGAGACGATCATCGCTAAACTTTTTGTACATATATTTAATAACATTATCTGTGACATATAAGAAATTGGAGTCATTCTTCATGCAATTTTTTTAAAACAGAGTTTTTATAAGTTTCCGCATAAGCGACCGTGTTGAAATGACTAAGCTTTGAAATTTAATATCTCGGAAATGAAATAGACGAACCTCTTGAAATTTTAACAGCTTCATTGTAACAACAATAAGAACGTCTGGTTAAAATTTCAAAAAGATTCATCACAGTGTTCTATCTCTACCAAACGTCCTTAGAGAGAGAAAGAGAGAGATAGAGACAGAGAGAGAGAGGCAGCAAATACAGTAATCATCAGGGTATACATCTGTGTAATAATAAATTTAAAAAAATTTTTTTTTTCAATATCGAAGTTTTATCAAGCTTATAAAGGCTTTACAACTACTTGGTTAACACTATTAAGGAACGAATACTACTTTATTTAACTTATCATCAGTTTTTTTACTTTTATAACTGTAATATCTAACAACTTTAACTCTTTTAATGGAATCAGCCATATAATACTGTTAAGCATGACAACGGTTTAATGTAACAATGATCTTTATGGGCAAGTCTTAACCTTTCAATCAGTAGCCTTAATCAGTAGTTATACTTTCCGGTAAGTCTACCAGACTTCAGGGCCCCAGAGATGGTAAAATTTTCAACCTCTCATTTAAATTGATATCTAAGATCTGAGTAAGGCAAAGCTACATAATCAATGTAAGCAAAATGACTACTACACTTGGCCATCTTGTTTGCCATTTTATTTAGAAGAATACCACATTACGAAAGGATTTACGTAAACTTAAGGACGTTCATTACACATAACGTTTTGGGTAGAATCTTCCTGAAATCCCAACAGGATATTCGTAATGATGTTAGAAAGTCACATATGAAATTTGAGACGGTTTTACATCGTTTTTTAGATTTTAAACGTTGAAAAAACTTCAATTTAACACGTAACCTTATGGAAGAGTCACATGAAGATGGAATTCATGAGAGAATTTTGCCCTATGCAATACTTTTGATATTATATTCAATTTTCAGAGGGATCGACATTTTACTTTTGCAATTAAATAAAAAAACAGTGTCAAATGCCTATTTATGAGTATACAAATGCATGCAAAACAGTTATCAGCGCTACCGCATGCTCGCTACCCTCTCACTGCACTCTACATTTCCCCTCTAACTGTAATGAACGTCCTTAATAAATCCTCAATGATATGGATCCAAAAAATTAAGACACTAAGTAAGATAAAGAAAGGTGTATCCGGATACTTAAAAATTTGACGGTGTAGCTGGACAGCTGTTAAGTTTAATTCTATTGAACAATAATTTACGTATGTAACAGCAAACAAAAATATATTTGAACTCAGAAGGTCAATATTTAAATGAATGATAAAAATTTTTATTCTGAAAATTCAATATTATCAAATAAATAAATAATTTGCTATGTCGCTCTTCCTCATTTTAATTTATGGACCGTCCGAGATTACCCTCCATGGTATAACACTTAAATTTGTATTGGGCAGTAGTCGGCCACACCAAAAATACATAATACATTGGTCCTTCTACGCAATAATGGCATAAAAAGTTCGTGAGTATTTAAACTGCATTAACTAAAATAAAAATTATTTCTCTCATTTGATTAACATTACTGTCCAAGTAATGCTTCCCCGTATCCGACTACTACTTCCTCTCCTATAGATTCTTATCGTGGGTGTCTGACTTTAGCTGCAAATGACGTTAACTTTTAAAACTAATTATTTAATAATTTTTGAGAGAAAACAATTTTTTATTATTAAAAAAAGGTCAGTTGATAGTAAGAACGATTTTTTTGTTGTAACAATTTCATATTCTGAGGTTGATTAAGGATATTAATACTTTTTTCCAAAAACTGTCAGGATATCCCTTCTTTACTTACTTTTTTTAAATTCAAATACGTGAGGATTAGTGTTTATGTTAGATCACTCGCTCACATGTTTAACGGCTTTTATGGGAATCATTTCTTCTAGGGGACGTTTTTTGTGGTACATGAGACATTGCAAATAAATTACAGTTAGGGACTCTTTAATTATATTTAATTCGGTTTAATACAAAGTAGCCTTGTAGGCTTAGGTGTCGATATACCTAAGGTCTCTCAACTTTAAGTGAAACAGCCGATGCTCTTTCAAAGTTGATACTGGTAAGACATCACTAGTAAAATTCAGATTCATTTACTTTTACTTGAAAGAAATTTGTTTCATGTTAGTAACCACTTGGTAATCGTTATGTATGTACTATAAATAAAACCAGTATCTACTACCAACTTATATGAAAAAGTTGGACACTTTATAAACATTCATCAGTCTTCTACCATCATGATCATTATAATTTACTGTTGGGATTGGTTGTTGAACTATTAGCTTCAAGGATGCAGATAAATCAACACATGCAAAATTCATGAATTTTTCAACTTTATGGTTATTATTATAATCCATATTTTTAGTACAACTAGTATTAATTTCGAAAACTAATAAATCTAAATAAATCGTCTATAAAGATATTACTAATGGGTTCTTATTTAAGAATTGGAATTGAATTAGTTCTAAATAAAAGATTAAAAACTACATCGGTTGAATGAATAATCAAAAACCCTATTCAGCTATAGCATGTGGTTTAAATTTCGTGAATGTGTAAGATGCAAAAGGAAATAATCAGTAAGTATACGATGCAATGATTTTATTCTCTGAGTATTTTTATGTACGTACCTAATACCATCTCACAAGTATAGCTTACGAATGACCAAGGTCACAACAGCAAGTTGATATTTTCCTACTTCTCGATTTTCTAGCACAGAGGTGAATACAAACAGTGTGTGGCATAAATACGGATGTAAGCACATAATGTTGAATTAGTCGTAAGATTCTATTTGTGGAAGAATAACACGTTTTTTTTATCGAAGATGAGGCTCCTTTTTTGGTCGATTATTGTATTTTTTACGTTATTAGATTTAACACGGGGTAAGTAAATGGCTCAAAATTTTTATCAGTGTTAATATCATATTGATCTTTGTTGTCGATGATGCACTTAGGTAGTAGAAAATTGTGCACAGAAAATATGACATATCTGGAATGCGGTGAGTTGTCGTACCGCATCCTCGAAAAAGACTATTACTGCGAGAGGCACAGTTTTAATGATAAAGGAGAAATTGCAAAAATTCATAGGTATGTTATTTTTACTTATACAAGCCTTAGCTTACAACTCGAAATAAGCTTAATGCACACGCTTTTCAGCGTATTTATTTCAACGCATCATTTTCTACATTAAAAATTATACAAGTGTCAAAATTCTGAGTATTTTTTAATTTTGATTATCGTTGCCAACATTTTTAATAAAATTTGGGGTATCATGATGTTACCGAAAAACATACGATTTGTTTGCTTATAAATGGCAACTATTACTGTTGATTTGCTAATTGATTTTACGCTTAAATATATTTTACTATATTTAAACAAACTATTGACCTAATTTATAAATATTGAACTCTCTAAATTAACCACTCATATCGGTTTTCTTGTGACGAATTTTTTTAAATTTAATTGTTATTAATACAACTGTTTAAATTAGTTTTTTAGCTCTTAACAAATAACCTTAATTTATTCTCAAACATTATGTAGAACTAGGTAAATAGTTGAATTGATTTTCTTGGATCCCATACAAATACTGTTGCGGCTGTTCGTTATGATTGTATGACAATAGAACAAATCTATATATTTTTTTGAAAATTTTTTCTAAGATACATTTTTGTTTCTATACTTATGAATAGTTAAATTAATTAAAATCAATAATTACATTTGTATAATAAAACTGATGTGCTTATATTGTATACCCTTTCACTGAAAGCTTAAAAGTTTAGAAATAAAAATAAATAAATTTACTAAGTACCTAACGATTGCAGATGCCCGAAAGTGGGAAAGTGCAAACCTAATCAAGTACTGTTAAGACCAGAACTGATGAGAGCATACCATCACTATCCTTTTCCTGAATGCTGTTCAAGATGTGTAGATGGTAAAGAAAAATTACCATTTTTACTCATGTATGCTTGTATTGAATGTTAACTGAGAAAATTGCATTTTATTGTAAAATAAGCATACTTTTTGAATAGTATTAAAAAACACATCGATCGAATCTGATTAAAAATTATTATTTCAGCAAACAAAACGAGCTTATACTATACTTGATCACGTAAGACGATGGGATCACGCTTTGAAACATCATATTCATAAAATACAAGCACAAGTAAAAAGAATATTTCAGCGTATGGCATTAAAATGTATAACAGCAACAAAACTTAGCTTTGATTAGAATCGTACTAATAACACATGGGATTTTGGATAATGCATTTCAATAATTATATAATGTAAATTTTTTTATCAATAAAACCAAAATTTTTTGTTCTTGATTATATAATATCGTTTATTTATAAAGTATTAACCAGTACAAGAAACTACTGCCGATTTATTGGTAAAAAGCTTTATCATTTTTTTTTGTACAAATATTTTACTTTACATTACTACTCTAATTAGGTGTACTTGGCGCACTCAATTTTATTTTCTCATTATACGATTTTTTATAAGTAGTTTGTCAATTTTCAAATAGTATTAAGTGTTTCATAAGTTTTTTCGCATTGTAGGATGCCTGTTTTTATCTTGTTGAAAAATACTGCATTATGTACTCAACCTGCACATAGCATTATCACCGTCATTAACATTTTTTTACAGTTTTGTTTATTTCTTTACCAAGGATAGTTGCATTGTAATTTTAATTAAATTTTGTATAAACAAATAATGATTATTGTTATTCCCAAACTGTTCATGCAGATGAAATTGAGTAGCTTATTGTTTCCATTCTTGAAAAATATCTTCTGTACTTAAAAGCAAAAGCTTAATTAAACGAACAAGGAAACATTGAAATTTATGCAAACAAGTTTCCTGCAGTTATGAAAGCGTTATCATTATTTTCAACACAAATATTGTTTTTTTCAAGAAAAACTTTGTATTTGATTGTGTCTTACTTATTATTACTCAGTTTAAAAAAAATTAATTATAAAATAGTAAGTGTACGTTATACAATAGTTAAATAGTAAATGTACTATAACACCTCACTATTTTATAAAGAGAATTTTCTCTGTTTTAATTATTGTATTGTATGACATACAACGTACAAGCGTTTTTTGCAGGGTTTTAATATATTCTTATCCCTGTACTTTTACCACCATGACCTTTTTTTCGTTATTCCTCTTTTCTCTTCCCAAATAAACGAGTCCTTGATACAAGTCTTCGGTGCAAAGCACATTTAACTTGGTTATCCATCCGATGATATACGATTTAATTGATCGTTTTAAGTGGATTATATATAGTGGTACGTTCAAACGAAAAAACAGTTTTTAGTTGGCTATTTTTTTTTTCAAAGTATTATTATCCTTGGTAAATCATGTAAAAAGTATTATCTTTTATGGTAGAAAAGTATACTTAAAGTACATAATAAATTATGAAAAATTGCCTAAAAATAACATTTACCTCCAATATTTTCGTCTGGACTGCACAACACAAGTATATTTTTAGTACTTCAATCAAACTTAAAAGTACAGCACCTCTTTAACAGAGTAGCTAGCCCTATCCAATTTTTGATAAATTATATTATTCATTATTTTTAGTAGCATACTAGTTTTTTAGATGGTTGTGTTTATCTGAAATTGAAAATTTTTGAACTTGTCATTGAAAACAAACATTCGATGAGAACGTCTTCATCAGAGCCTGTGTAAGCAGGTTTCATTACTTAATTTTCGGAAAACCATGTGGCTAGCCTCTTTAAGATTTAAATATGATGTCTGGCAAAACTTTTTTTTGCTATAACTTTTTTCTTTTGCCAGGTATTGTCTTTCTTCGGAAAGAAAGTCCCTGAAAGTCTAGATCTCATCGCAAAAAAATCCGCTATTCATCATAAAATCAAGAAAGTGGTTTCCCCATTATCTTGGGTATTTTTTCGTTGAAAACGCCCAAGTTAAAAATTCCAATACTCTAAGACAGACTTCCAAAATATTACCTCACAGTTTCTTCCACTGAACCAAATTATCGAAACCCCGTAATCTATACATAGGTGGGTAGATGAAGCCTCAAAAAATGGTCAATAAGAAATTTTCGGAGACTACGACGAAAATTATTGGAATCGCTACGTATTACGATAAGAATACATGGAAAAATAGTTGTGGGGTATAATTTGGCCAGCTTTTTTGTTATTAAACAAGTAGTGAAAATCGACTAGATTTTTTCTTTAAATTTCGCATACAGCTTTTTTTTCAGGTATCTTATTACGAAAACCGCTAAGATAATTTTTTTATTACTTGATTATCTATAGACCAGTGCTGGCTACATTATCTGAAACCTATTTTTAGCGAAGTTACAGAGCAAAAAAGTGTGAAAATCGCGATTTAAAATTTCAACTTNAACTTTTACATTTTTAAATAAAAATTTCTTAAAATTTGGAATTCAATTCTTCTGATGAGTATTTTTAATCACCCAACAATTTCAGTCCAACTTTGAAAATGAGGTCATGAAACGACTATTAATTAAAAAATTTAATTGGCTGCTCTGAACCTTATAGTATGGCTGGATCGAATTTTCAGAATAAATTTTATTAAGAACTTGATAATATTGAGAACTTGAACACGAAAAAGAAAAAGTTATTTTTTTACAAATTTTAACCCCAATTTTTATAAAATTTAGTTGTGCAACATAAACAAATTGACGTAACTTTAACGTTTTGTATTGTACTGTGTTGTAACAAATTTCACTTGATAGAGTTTCTTTTTTCTCGAGTTAAAAGAAAAATGATTGCGACAACGTACTTTTAATAAACAACCTGAATAAAGTTTCCCTATTAGTACGAAGGGCAAAGTAAGTAGTAGGGACTTTTCAATTTCCGTATATGAAAAAGAAAATCTATTATTAACATGCATCGATGCCTGAATGCATGCAACCCACTGTTCAGAGAACAGCATAGCACCTCAAAGTGTTCAAGTATAATACTTATTTTTTTTCATTTTGTTACTGTGCGTAAAAGTTATTAACTGATAAAAATCAACAAGAAATATCTTGCAGAAGTTAAAATTTTTTTTTTAAGTTGGAACAAAAGTTAAAATTTGAACAACTGTAATAAATACTAAATTATTTATGTTTGTTGTTAAAAATAGATGTCCACAACTATTACTTTTTTACTGTAAAAATATACTCTAATGAGTGGTTGCAATACAGTAAAATGTAAAACATTAGAGTTATGTTAATCTGTATATGCTGTAACATTAAATTTTATAGTAAATTTGGAAAAAATGTTTTTCGCAATAGTGTGCGGAAAATGGGTGTTTTCCGCACTGGTATTAGTGTGGAAAATCGATTTTCCCACATAGTGTGTGACAAAGGTGTGCGGCAAAAGTTTTTGTCGCACAGTGTGTGGAAAAAGTGTGCGGCAAAGGTTTTTGCCACACAGTGTGCGGAAAAGGTATGTAGAAAAGGTTTTGCCACACACCGGAATAGTAGTTTTCCTACGAGTTTGAAAAGTCTCTGTTTGCGAACCGAGAGGTTTGCGGCCCGAGCCGAAGGCGAGGTCCGTAACGAGGTTCGTAAAGGAGACTTTTTGAACGAGTATCGGAAAACTGCTTTTTTGCCCGAGGAAGTACCAGCCTCCCAAAACCACCCGAGGGCGGAAAAAAATGTTTCTACACATTGGAAATCGAAATTCAAACCTATTTTGTACCTATTTTCCTCACACATTGCGAAAAAACTTGTACGCAACTCGTGCGGGACAATTTCCCGTACTCGTGTGATAGACTCGCACTCGTGGCCGGTGACGGTAACTCGTACCTTGCGATCACACTCGTGCTACGCACTTGTGTGCTCAACTGGTACTAGTTCCTATCAACTCCGGCACTCGTGTGAGTCAATCACTACTCGTGCGGGAAATCGTCTTTTCCGCACTTGTTACGTAAATAACTATTGTCTCTTTCGTGTTATAATTCTTAGTATCCTCAACGAAATTTATTCTGAAACTTTAACCTAGGCACACTGTAAGGTTCAGGGCAGCTAAATGAGTTTTTAAATTAACAATCGTTTTGTGACGTCATTTTTAATGCTAGAAAAAAATTTTTGCTCGTGGTTAAAGAACCCCACAAGAAGAATTGAATTCAAAATTTAAAGAAATTTTCATTGAAAAATGTAGTAGTTCATAATGTTTAAAAATAGACACTTTAAATGGCGATTTTTGTACATTATTGCTCTTTAACTTCACGAAAAATAGATTTCAGATAATTTAACCAGCACTGATTGATAGATAGTCTAATAACGAACGAATTACCTTGAGCTGTTTTAACCAAAAGAAAGTTACAATCATAATTCGAAGAAAAAATCCGCTTGAAAAGCTGGCACGGTTATGTCTTAAAAATATTTTGCCATGTATTCTAATCATAAGATTCCATTGTTCTGGTAGTTGCAGAAAATCGCTAATTAAATGATTTATCTGCCCATCTGTTAGTTTATGTTTAATGTTCTTTCAGAGGAAGTTTTATTATACACAACATTAAATATGTATAATAAATATTCTGTTGTTACATATATAGGCCCACTCTCTGAAGTTATTTGTAAGCTTTTTAAAAAACTCAATGTCAAAATTGCTTTTGAAACCAATAAAACTTTACAAAAAATGATAAAAAACAACAAAACTGAGCAAGTCAACTCTTCTTTGAGACAACGCGAACATATGCAGCCAATTTATAATATTCAGGGTGATAAAATGTAGGATGGATGAGTGAGAGCGGGTTCTTTTATAAATAAAAACAACAATTATTCGCGGGACGACACTACTTACCTAGGCATAAAACTCTCGCGGATTGAGAGAAAGCCGGGGTAAGTGTAATATTTTTATATGATCAATCAATAAAAGGTACAGAACAATTATAATTGTAAGAAATAAGTTACCATAATGCTACGCCTTACACGCTTCGCTCGCAACGTGACAAGATAACGCGCTACACGATTCGCGAGGATCCTTTAGTACCTAAAGAGAGCTCTCTTACCTCAGTTGCGCCGTCCGTAATAAATACTCCAACACCGCACCGCGGAGGATGGGTGTCGAGGAAGTGCCGCAGGGGGCTCGGGAGCGCACAGGAGATTCGAGACCTGGCTGTCCAAGCGCGTCCCGACGTCTCGAGCTGCCAAACGCTTGGACGACGGGCAACACTCTGTTGCCGCGTTGCGCTCGCCGTAGAAGATCACGATTACCGTGGACACCTTCTCCCACCGAGTAACACCAAACACACACACGCTTCACCCACACTACTATTCTATCCCAGCGCCTGGGCACTCGCATACATTTGTTGGTTATCCGATTAATTAGTCGCACGCTCGCTTACAG